TGCTTATATTTAACAATTGGTCAGCTTAAAACAAAAAATTTATATCATTTTAAAAAAGTTAACCGATAAGTTTTATTGTTCATGACTCAAGCTTCAAAAACTTATCGGCTAGTTTTTTCTTAAACTAAAAATTAGCAAGCAGAGCCTTTTAACATTTTGAAAATTCCAAATTTTGTTAACAATTAAATCAAGTTAAATTTTGTGTAACAAAATTTTGTATTATTAATTTCCTTTTTTTTTTATAATTTACATCAAAAGAAAATCATTACCAAACTTGATTATGTAATTCAAATATTGTAACATGAAAATTATTATTTCTGAGCATAACCCTCAAAATTTAAAAAATACATGAAAAACAAATTTGAGACAAAAATTTTTTTTACATGAATTGACCCCTTTTTAAAGCTAAATGAATGGTGGCAGCTTTTTAAAACCAAACATGTGGGATCACATAATATTTCAAAATTTTTAACTTTTGAGCATAGATTATCCCGCAGTGTATTTATTTTTTATTTTTGAGAAATAAAAAATTAAAATACACCAACAAATTTATTTATCACTTATTATATTTATTAATATTATTTATCATAAGACGATTTTTTATTTAATAGCAACCAAAATAATAATAATAATAATAGAAAAATAATTTTCGCGCCCCTTTCAAAATCACATCAAAAACCCGTTAAAATTATCAAACTCTTCTATAAATCTCCCCACACTTAATATGTCAGATAACCATAATAATGATACGAATAGTAACAGTAGTGTTAAAGTTGATCAAAATGATCCAATATTTAAAACAGTTGGAATAACTTTGGCTATTTCGAGTGGTATATAATTATTATTAATACATATACATACATATATATATATGTATGTATGTATGTATAGATTGGATATTTAATAATAATAATAATAATAATAATTTTTATTTTGCTTTTAGGTGCATTTATTGGCATTTCATTCGTTTTAAAAAAGAAAGGCTTGCTAGCTGCAAACGAATTTGCCGGTAAAGGATATGCTTATTTATCAAATGGATTATGGTGGAGTGGAATGATACTAAGTAAGTGTGTGATCAATTGTTGTTGTTTTTGTTGTTATAGGATTTAATTATTAATTATTAATCATTAATTATTAGTGATTATTGGTGAAATATGTAATTTTGTTGCCTATGCACTTACACAAGCAATCTTGGTAACTCCATTAGGAGCATTAAGTGTTGTAGTAAGGTAAAAATAGTAATATCAATAATTCATGATTTTTTAAATATTATAAATATGAATAACATTAATCATAAAATTTTCTTTTAATTTTTTCATGTTCCCAGCGCAATTTGTTCTTCAATCTTTCTTAAAGAAAGATTAAGCATGCAGGGTAAAATAGGTTGTGCACAATGTATTATTGGAGCTATTATAATTGTCATGCATGCTCCGCCTCAGCATTCTGCCACTTCTATTGATGAATTTCGATCTTTATTTTTTTCACCTGGTAAAAAAAATTAATAATAATTTTTTTGATTTATTAAATAAATAATTAAATTTAATCCATTATTGTTTGTTTATTTGGTTATCTAGGATTTCTTAGTTATGCAATAGTTTGTATAGTATTATCTGGTTTAATAATATGGAGGCTTGCACCAAATTATGGGTCTAGAAATATGTTGGTTTATATCAGTGTCTGTTCAATCATTGGTTCACTCTCGGTTGTTACAACTCAAGGTCTTGGTATTGCGATACTCAAAACTATAGAAGGCGAAAATCAATTCACACATTGGTTTACGTACTTTTTAATAGTTTTCATAGTTGTAACGTTGTTGATTGAAATCAATTATTTAAACAAAGCATTGAATCTATTCAACACTGCAATGGTCACTCCCGTATATTATGTTGTATTCACTAGTTTAACAATAATATCATCGTCGATTTTGACTAAAGGTTTCGAAGCGCCACCTCAAGGTGTCGTAACCGTTGTTTTGGGATTTTTGGTGATTTGTTCGGGAATCGTTTTATTGCAAACTTCAAAAGGTACAGTTGTTGACCTTAGAAATCCCTCAATTCTATCCCCAACTGGCACCATAATAAATCATGACATGGAAACAGTATCTACATTAAATAATAATAATAGTTTGTTAATGCGTGCAAATTATATCGAGCCAGGTGCATCTGAAATTAGAGCAAGTTTTGGTAGCATCAAAAGGTATTCTATGAATTTTAGTGCTATTAAAGAATCTGCCACGTTATCATATGATCTACCAACTTCTATGACAGCTCCTCCCACAAAAACGATAATAAATAAACACAGACATAAAAGAAGCATGAGTGTAAATTTTGAAGAGGGAAAGGATCTTAGCGGTTTAAAAACGAGAAATAAAGGTTCTGGACCTCAAAGATCCAATAGTACCAAATCAATGCCTGATCCTGCCATAATAAATGAATTTGAAAACGATAAAGTCGATGACGACGACAAAAATGATGAAAAGAAACCGTATGGTCAGGTTCCGACATTAAAAACTTTAAAAAACAAATTCAGATCATTATCACCAATAACTACAACAACAACAATTCCATCCGTAACAACTCCTACAACATCACCTGTTAAAAAAGAAAAAACTAGAACAAATAAAACCCTTTCACCGATAATAGTTACGGCTGCTGCACCAATCACATCGACAATTCATAATCAATTATATTCACCACCACCACCACCACAACCTTCATCCTCAACAACAACATTATCAACAACAACGTTATCATCACCGACCAATGAGAATAGTAATGATTATGAAAATGATGTTAATAATAATGATAATAATAATAATAATAATAATAATAATAATGATAATGATAATAATAATAATAATCGAATTCATCAGCCAAAACAGTTGCTGAAACTTGATCATCATATTGATATCCTATCATTACCGTCACCATTACAACATCCAATCAATTATATAAAACAACATTTGTCACCTACAAACTCATTATTTCAAGATAATGGTGGTACGAGTGATGGTATTAGAATTAGTAGGTTACAAAAAGCTAGTACCAGAAGATCACAAAATTCAATGCATTTGGTTGATAAAATGAAATCAGGGATGAATTCGTCCGAATCAAAAGATGAACATGAAGTTTTAGTAGGACAAAAAATGGTATAATAAATATATGTATATAAATTTTTTTAAAAATTACGTTTTATTTATTACTTGAGAATGTTTGATGATGAAAATTTTAATATTTAAATAAAATAATATTTATTTTATAATTAATCTATTTATTTTATTTCAATATTAAAAAAAATTTTTTATGTATATATCATGTAGAATAAAAAATTTTTTAATAATATTATTTAATTCAAAAAAAAGTCATATCAAAGTGTAGTATCATTAGATACTCTCAAACAATTTAAACAAATGATAATAAAAGACTTGTATGAAATTCCATTTTTATTATTTTCATCATTATATTGTATTGAATGGAATGTAACAAATATAAATTAACAAGATGTTCATGCATGTCTACAAGAGCTTTTTGATATTTAGACATTATATTCAAGTATGTCAATATTCTCATCACTTCCTATCAAGGATCAATTTGAAATGAGGATTTAATAATGCAGTACAGATTAAATAAAAGAATGTGATAATTTTTTTATTATGCTATTATAGCCTGCATACATATTATTATTATTATTATATATATCAAAAGGTGGTGTTAATGGACAACCATCACCAACATTATTTGGTCAAGTAAAAATTAGTGTCCTTTGACTATAATTTTGTGTTATTGTTCTCTATAATATTATCTTTAATAAATGATACCATCACAATTATTATTAATCCAGTTAACAATGATTTGGGATGATGACGTTGGCGATGTATCGTGGCCGAGGAAATGTTGGCAATTGCCTCTATTTTTGATCAAGTCATTTGAAAAGTGGCGATGATACCAAATAAATTGTTTTTCGGCTATAATCTTTAATTATCAAGTATATAAGTTTTTGCACTAGATAATAATGGTGGATCTGAAACCTTATTAAACTTATCATCAAGTGAAAAAATTGAGTGTAGATCATTAAAAGGATTTATGCTGGTGTCTGGTACAAGAAATTCAGGGAATGCATACAATGCATTCCACCCATAAACAATTAATGAAATTCTTTTTTTAAAAATATATTAATTACCAAGTAGGTATTAGTATCAAACGTTAGTTTTTATTCATTTATTTCTAGTCACCAAACTTTAATTCCTCCAAAAATGGGGTAAACCGACAATAGAAACAACATTAATATTATCTGTATATTCATTACATTTATTTGTAGAAGTCATGCGAGTACTGAACATCAAAAGACAAAAAAGTCGATGAAAAAGTCAATATTAATATTAATATTGTAAGTAATAGTATCCGTTTTCGTCTCATTAATATTGAAAGAGAGGGTTATTTATAATAACTAATCTTTATAAAAGGTAAAATTAGGAAGTAAGAAAAAAAAAACGAAAAGGTTGCTAATCAACAAGCACAGTATTTTAATTATTAACAAATCAACTTATTTGTATTTGCTTCTAACAAAAAAGATCAAAATTATTATTATCCTTTTCCATATTAACAGTTATCAAATAGACAATCTTTTTATGTAACTTGGATTTTTATTACAAGGTTAACATACAATATATAATGTGTAATCCACACAATCATCTGCTAATATCAAAAGAGTAGCTTTTTTTAACCTGCATTGATAAAATGTATTAATTAATAAATGATTTTTTTTTTTATTCTCAAATAAAAAAGATAGGATTGTAAAAATAGATCAGGTGGTACACACATGTTTGGTGAGCAATGGTTGGTTAGATTATCCCATTGAAGGATGATAACTATTGTTATATAATTATATAATTATGTGGCTTTCCGAAATTGGTTTTGGAAAAGTCTCAACTATTAATATGATATTTTGATTTATTAAGTGCACTAATATTATTAAGAGGAAGGCAATTGCGACAAACATCTATGTTTTAAATCTACCTTTCCAGGCTCGCTCTTCTTCATCATTTCAAATGAAACTATTTGTTATAACTTTATGATTTTCATTTGAAGTGTATATGTATACTTTATTGATAATAAAGAATTCCATATAGCTACACTTAAATGCTGACCCATCCTAAACTGAAACGTTTATCGAATTTCGATGCGAAACTCAATATAATATATACACTATGTATATATATATATAGTTCATAATATCATTTATAATTAATAATAATTACTCTTACAAGGTCTCAATCATCAAGACTTTTTGTCTTTGAAATTATGATCCAATCAAAACCGCAGACAAATCTAATTTAAAATAAAAAGCTTACAAATGATAAATTTATATATAGGATTATATGTGTTGTTGTATGAATATGAAAGGCAATGTTTGTAGTAGCTCAAATAGAGTTCCAAGGAGAAAAGTTTGCAAAATTGCATGGATCCTTCCAAGCTCTTTCCTTAATGATACAGTCATTGCGAATCAATGAGTATGAGGATGGGCACACTTACCAATTAAAGGATATAATTGACATTAAATTTTATATGGAGTGAATGATAAGAAAACCAGAAAAATATCAAACAAAAAAAAAAGTCTTTATATTACAGTATAAGAAAAAAATTGTGCAATTTATTATGTTGATCAATTCCGTATTGCGTTTTCAATTGAAATACTAGTACTAGTACTAGGGGTGTTGTTTCAGAAAGAACAAGAAACGGAACAGAGAAACAACAATTTATTTTTCTCCTTATTTCACTTCCAAATTTGGGAAACGATCTTTTTAATAAAAATGAAAACAAGAAAACGAGAATATCAAAAATTAGCTGTACAACAAACAACAACAAAGTTCAAAAAGTAGCTTCTACTAATAATGGCGAATGATAACAATAAAGTATTTATCCATTTCTAAGGGCGACTTCTTCTACTAATAATGTCAAACAATAACAACAAAGTATTTATCCGGTTCAAAGGGCAATTCGCCTTCGTCAAAACTTTCGTCAAATTCATCTGGACCAGTCACCGTCCAAAATTTTAAATTTAAAAAATCTTTCTAATTTAAGCGATCGGATTTCTTTTATCGGAAAGATTTTCTATGTCACGAAAATTTTTTAAAGCTGATCAAAGCATGATTTCATTGGCTAAATTTGTGATGATCTCCCTTCCAGACATCACGCAAAAATTTACAGGAGGGAACGTACTGGGAACACAAAATTAACAGGAGGGAACACAAAAATTTAACCCATGCAATTTTGTTGATTGACCAATTAAAATCGTGAATTTGATAACGTAGAAATAAATATGGGTTTGATTCATTTTGTCAACAATCACTTCACCAACAATTGTTTCGTTAACGAATTTAAGAAGTTGGAAGCAACCATGCGACAAGCCTTCAAAATAGTCTAATAAATTAAATCGTACTACTCGAAAATGTATTTAAAGGGTTAGCTTTCGACTTGGTTGAAAAATAACTCTCTTCCTAACTCTTCTCTTGACCATATCTCTCGATATAACCAAAATAACCTT